TCGCGATGGAGTACAGTGATGGAGTAAGGCAACGATGGAGTAAATCGATCCATCTCTGGTCTGGCAGAAGATGGAGAAGACGGATCTTGAAGTATAGGGTTAGTGCGAGTAGAGCTCTCGAATTGAAGAAAATCGATCGGGGGTAAAGTAAAGTGGGTATGTGAAAAAAACCTATACGTTGGGCGTTTAAAAAAAACTTTGCTCACACCCAGCCGGCCCAGTAAGCGAACCCTTCCGTATTGAAAAAAAATAAGTGTCGCTATTCGGCTGTAAAATTTTTGTGTTAGAAATCAATGACACTTGTGTGTCATTAATGGTATTTTATCAAAAAGTGTCACTATAAAAGTGTCACTGTAAGGCATTTTTCTAGTAGTGTGACAAATCATCCAAGATTAGAAAAAACACTGAATTTAATTTTATTAAGATTAAACAAAATTAAGGAATGTTATTAAAAAATGTAACAATGTGTTCAAAATTTCACAAGACTAAATTTAATATTTATGAATTTGAAGTGCTTCATTTACAACGGAAAATTAATATTTTTTCAATTTAAATTAAAGAGTTAATATTTTAACATAAAAATAAATCTTTATTTTAACTCTTTAATCTTTTTATTATTCAATCACGAATTTATAATTTATTTTTAGTGTTTTTTAAATTTTATTTTATTTATGTAAAGCGAATAAGTTTAAATTTGCTTCTTTATAAGAACATCAGGGGTATTTTTCACCTTTTAAAAGTTTAGGGGTATATACACTTCTACATAAACTTTAGGGTATATTTGTTCCCAAAAATAGAACATGGATATATTTGTTCTTACACTCTCATACTACAGGGGTATATTTATACATTTTCCCTAATAATATCAATTATTGACAGTCTCCTCATAATAATCCCAACTATCGATTTGTTGAGTTAATGACCCAATCGCGGATCGGCCCATTATCCCCTTAATGAAGAGCATCAAGGCCCCAACAAGAGAAGGTCCCAAGACGCTCGTCTTCAGACTTCACAACCCACGAGAGAAGTTGACTGCAGTGGGCCAAGGTTTAGTACACCGTTCGTCTGTCCCAGTAAGACGATCGGCCTCTGTGGCCTTTAGCCCATTATTGTTCTAAGTGGCAATCTGACGCCCGCAGCCAGATGACACACAGAAGGCGCTCGGCTTCTACCCCTTGCTCCATCCCGGCAGAAGGCCCAAGATCCTGGGGACGCTCGTCCACATAACTTGGTGGGAAACCAAGATATTGGCGGGAGACATATTTAATGCTGAAAATTTGGTGGTTGGGAACCTAGCCATCCACAGCCCTCCACGTAAGCAGATCTACCTACCCCTTGGTAGTATAAGTAGTACTTTGTAGCATATATTTCACTGTAAAGAGTTGGCGACTTATTCTCCCTAGCATTCTAGCATTTATCTTAGCTCTTCTTATTGCTATAGACGAACGGCCTCCGGCCAGGTAGTTGAAGCGTGTTGTATACGAATCCTTATTATCACTTAATAAGATACGGCTCACTTGCTACAAAAATATCAGTCCATCTTACTTGCTTACACCCCATATTCTCTACATACTTTCCACTCGAAATCCTAGGGTAACGTGTTGGACCATCGGGTTGAATGAATAAACCTCAACACGATTATTTCAAAATAATAGCAATTTTAGGGACTTTTCGTCAATAATAGTCCAACGTGACCGGCTACCTGTTTAGTCAATTAAAAAAGAAAAACAAGATTATAATAATCTGAATTATCATCTGTCGAATTCTCTTGGATCCAAAAAATAAATTAAAATATCTATAAATAAATAGAAATGGTAAAAAAAGATTATAAAATTTTGCTTTTACTTAATTAACCTTTTTAGACAGTTTGTGGAATTAAAGTATATAAAATATATAATTATAGAATATGAAAAAACTTATATATGGGATTATCTTTTACTGTATATGTAAATTGAGAATTACCACTATTAAGATATTGGGGATTAAACTTCTGTATATAATAGTAATGATAATTATTATTAATTATTATTATGATATATTATATTTATTCAAATTAAAATGTATCAGAAAAAGCATCAGAGATCGCATATTATGCGGACAAGGTCCCAATCGCGTCTAGAATGAAGTGAAGTGAGATCCAAGGGAGGGTCATCTTTGGAGGAATTTAGGGTTGGCTTTGCTTGCTTTTATTGTATTTTATGCTTTTAGCTAGCTCTCTTTTATGTTTCTCTTTATCTTTCTTGTAATTCTTCTTCATTTTTATTTTATAAAATGTTTCTTTTATTTAAAAAAATATTATATTAATTCACTAAATATGTATACTAATAGGTATACATATGTGTCTATATGTACATGAATGTGTGTATGTTTTTGCTATATAATATAGTTATACATGTTTATATGTTATTTGTATAATATAAATACAGGGAAAATGTACAAATATACCCCTGTAGTATGGGTGTGAGAACAAATATAGCTCTGTTCCATTTCTCGGGACAAATATACCCCTGAAGTATTTTTGAAAGTGCATATATACCCTTGAACTTTTTAAAAGATATAAATATACTCCTCATAATCTTATAAAGGCGCAAATATACTCTTATTGACTTTAAATTAATAAAATAAATTTCAAAAAACACCAAAGATAAATTATAAATTCAAAATTAAAAAATAAAAAACATATAAAAAGTGTATTTGTGTCCAATTCTCCCTTTTTTGTTTGTATATCACATTTAAATATTGTTAATATAAAATGTTATTTCAAAACATTACTATATACGAAGTATTTAAGATTCTTCCAAAAAATGTGTTAACATATGTGTTCCAATATAAAAAATTAATTTTTGTTGCATTCTTTACACTATAAAATTACATATTTTGTATGATGATAAATAGTTCAAGATTACAAAATAGTGAATTTAATTTTATTAAAGTTAAACAAAATCAAAGAATGTTATTTCCAAAAATATAACAATGTGTTCAAAATTTCATAACAAGACTAAAATTAATATTTATGGATTTGAAGTGCTTCATTTACAACGAAAAAATAATAATTTTGAAATTTAAAATTAAAGAGTTAATATTTTAACATAATAATAAATCTTTATTTTTAAACTTTGAATTTATGCTTTTATTTTTGGTGTTTTTTGAAATTTATTTTATCTATTTAAAGTCAATAAGTGTAAGTTTGTGTCTTTATAAGAGCATGAGGGGTATTCTTTTGCATTTTTTAAAAGTTCAGGGGTATATATGCACTTCAACATATACTTCACGGATATATTTGTTCTGAAAAAAAGAACATGGGTATATTTGTTCTCTCATCTATAGTACAGGGGTATATTTGTACCTTCTCCCTATATATACATGTTGTATATGTTTGTGTATATATAGCGAGGCGGTGGTTTACCATTCCCCGCCACCCGAGCCATATTCTAGCGGGGTGGGAATATCTCACTCATCGTCGCCTCGCATTCTAGCAGGGTGGGATTGTCTCACCCGTCTCTGCCCCCTCCTCAAATCTTGATCCATCCCCCCCCCCCGCGGGGGTGGGTGCCCACAGGCCCTCGCCCTCATTATCATCCTTATATAGAATGGCAATGAAACATAGTCAAAATTAAGATGATACTATTATATATGTTATTCTAAGATTTAAAAGGGAATTTGTCATGCAGTAAGAAAAAGGACATACTCGATAAGTGAGAGTTATCCTACTGGACTATATCCCACATTTAAGAGTTACAATCCTTATCAAGTGGGAGGTAAATTTGAGAGAACTTTCTTAAATGATTCCTCTAAGTCTCCAACCCCAAGTTATCTTGGTGGTGGTCATGCAATGAAATTAATGTTTTGTCTCGAGAAGCCACAATCTGTCTAGCTTGAATTGTGATCATGCAATCAATGTTTTCATCTTGACTCAAGCCCGTTTCTACTCAAGCCACAATGTGAGAGTTAGTTTTATACTGAGAACATGACAATGTTAACAAAAAACAACACAATCCCTACCTGATTAGCATTGAAAAGTTAACACCCAATTATACATTTTAGGGCGGAACTAAGAAGGTCAAAGCGGGTAGCTGACCCTCTCACTTTGAATCCCCAAAAAGCAACAACATAAAATTCTTTGAAACAAAGTTCAATTTAGAAATTGATTTGCACCAATTTATAGAAGCGTGAGTTAGTTTTAATATGAAATACTAATAATTTATATCATGGAGAATTATGCATACAAGTTTAGTTTTCCCAACTTTTTGAGCAAAACTTGAAATTTATATCTTATTTACTCTTTTTTAGCATATAATATGTATCTAATTAATTAGCTCTTTTAGTATAACTTGAAATCACTTTGGCTATTTTCAACTAAGATTGAGTTAAAATTTCATATTTAGCCTTATTTGGATCTAGAGATAGATTTGACTGAATGAAAAATTAATTAACTTTTTAAAACGTTATTAATTTCAGCGCTCTAGTTCATCTCGACATTCAAATGTATCTCATTTGTATTAAAAAATATGACAAATTGATAAAAATAATCTCACCTTTCACCGGTCTTCTCATAAAAATCTCATATTTACGTAATCCAAGAATAATCCCACATTTGCATATCATCTTCTTTCATTGAACTCTGACCTAATAATGACCTACAAAGGTGGGATTATATAAGATTTTCAAAGAAAGGGTCCAATGAAAGAAAATGATGTGCAAATGTGGGATTATTCTTGAATTATGTAAAGGTGAGATTATTATGAAAGACCGGTAAAAGGTGGAATTATATAATACGTATGTGCTTATGGTAATTTTACATTTCTCTAATCATTTTTCATATGCGATCATTCAGCTGACATTTCAGTTCCAGATTTTTTATCATATGAATGCAAAGCCTATTGTTTAATCATTCAAAGTTTATAATTGGATGCATTTGCGATTTCATTCAAAGTAAAACTTTAATCATTTCAGTCAAGTTTATAAATAGATTCTTCCAAAAAAAAGTATATAACTTAATCCTTTTTTACATGATTCATAGTCAGTTGCATCACATTGTTCCATTCGATTGCAATATTATTTAAAATTTGTATCACCATTCAGAATGTACAAGGTACAAACAGTACATGTCCTGCATACAACGACTACACATTTTAAGAAGTTAATAATAATAGTAACAATTAGTAACAAACAAGTACCCTTGACAACACTAAAAAATGAACAAAAAGGGGACCCCTCACTTCACCCAAATTCGGTATGCCATTAAATCTCCAAGTATCCAACCAGTAAACAAAAATTTTGCACTTAGAACTCGCTCAGGAGTCGGGACAAGAGAAAGTATACATGGACCGCATAGGCATTGAGGATTGGACAACAAACTCCAACAGTCAAATGTTATCTCAATCATCACAAAAAATAATCAGGCGTCTTTCTCGAAGTATCAGGCTCAATCTGTCGAGGGGCAGGGTCAAACTGGAGAAAATTCTGCTCCATATTTTCCCCGATTTCTAGTATTGCTGCCATGTTACCACACCGGTAACAATAGTTTGGTGCACTAAATACTGTCACCACATTTTTCTCCTGCAAAGATAGTGCACAAAAGATAACAACAGCCATTAAATTGACTGGTAGTATATTTGGGAGTTAACCTTTCAAGGCACGGAAAGGGAATAAGGATGCTTTTACTCGGACAGGTTTCACACCAGACCAGATCTCAACATAACAGATCAGACTTCGGATATCGTAAAATACAGACCACAATCTACAAGACCAGAACAAACCAGACTTAAACAGACTAGAGACTAGACTTCAACAATTGTAAAATACACATAGACCAATCATCTACCGGACCAGTTCAAACCAGAAAAGATTAAAACAGACTACCAAATCCATTCAGAAAATTTTAGTCCAATTAAAATTGCATATCAATAGGACAATAGACCACACATCTACCAGACCAGAACATACCAGATCAGAGGAGGGGAGTTGTATCTTGGGTTATCTACTCGGCAAGTACTCGCAACTCAGGTTGTGGCATTGCCGATTAGCTACTTGACTCGGTCCATATATTATTTATGAGTTACTCGCCAAGTACTTAGCGAGTTTTTCAACTTGAGGAAGTTCTCAACTCGGCGAGTTACTCGGACGAGCATAATTTTGTTTTTTGTGGAATTTATGAATATTGAGTGGGTATTTTAAAAATTGGAAATAAACCTTAAAAAGTTAAGGTTTAAAAGTATTTCATACATTTGTTCATTCCAGTAGTGGTTCCTCCTCATCTCTAAGTAAGTTATTCTCCTTCATGCCTCTATCTTCTTTCTCGTTTCTTCTTCATTAGTTTTTTTCATATCTAAGAATTATAAGAATAATATATTACTATAATTTTTGGATATTTATATTTTTAAATTTAATTAATATAGGCCCGAGTAGTCACCAAGTAATCCCGACTACTAGGTAATAGGTCCTACTCCCTACTCGACCCTTGACTGAGTTGCTACCGAGTAGCGACTTGCAGGCTTGCAAAACACCAAACTCCCCTTGCAGGCTTGCACTCCCCAAATTTGGGGAGTTGTTTCTAACTTTTTTTACCGAAACAATCTTATATTCCCCATCAGCGAAAGTTTGTCGTATTCGACTTTCTTGATCAAAGGTAATACTCCCTCTGTCCCTAAATTAAACTCCATGTTTGACTTTTGCGGTCTTCTAGGTGGACATTATCATAATTATCTATAAATATATACCTATAAAATCTATAATAAATTGGCATTTGAATAATATGTATTACAATGAAGCACAATAAATAATTTTTTTGGGATAAAATATTATTAATTTTGAGAAATCAGCGGTCAAAGCTTAACAAGTTTGACTCAAAAAGTCAACCAGAGACTTTAATTTAGGGACGGAGGTAGCATTTTTTACAAAATTATTTATTACTGTATTTGGCAATGTTCTTTGTTAAAAGTAAAAAACAATTAAAATTTTCAATAAAATTTATTGATTAAAAACATAGGCCAAAGATTAAGACATTTGACCAAGAAAATAAAAAATAGCAAATTTTTTAGGGCGGAGGGATTATTTTTGTTATTATACATGCAGATCAATACTCAGTATATTTTAAATTATAACAACATTTATATCAAATAAAATATTTTTAAACATGTATCGAAAATACTATTTCCTCTTCACTCCATTGAACCAAACATAATATTTAATTGAGCCCCCTCCCCCCCCCCCCCCCCCCCCCACACACACACAGAAAACACACCTTCCTCATCCCTTCCCCCTCTTTTGAAGCAAAAGAGGGACTTAGGTTAGCCAGGTAGACATATATTGGGGAGTTGGGTTCTCAAGGAGAGTCGAGAGTGACTATTTTTCATTTAAGAAAACAGTGGTTAAGGGTGACAGAGTTTATAAGTAAAAGATGTAGAATGATTACTAGTAATTTCAATGTCCCAGTCATTAAATTATTATTACCAAAAACCATATGTTTGAGGTATTTGCCCCACACTAGCACAATATATAATAACAAAGAAATATATAAAGATGGAAAAGGGTCAAATGGGCCCTTCTACTATATCTAATTTAAAAGTATAGTCAATTAGGCCAATTTAACCTGCTATAGCAGGTTATTTAAAAAAAGATTAATCTTATAAAATTGATATAAATTTGAAAAATAATGCAATAATAATATAAAAATAGTATTTATGTTCAAAAATAGAAAAAAATAATTGACACGTTAAAATAATAAAAAAAATAAAAATTGAAAAAAAATAAGTGATAGTGTTAAAACTAAAAATTAAAATGTGATAACTTTTAAAAGATATAGAATATATGGAGAAAAAATAATTCAAAAAATGCAATAATCTAAACTTTGACATTCTTAAATTGTTCATACTTTCTATTTATATTTCTTTGAATTTTAATAATTTTTAGTTTTTCAATACAAGAAACCTGCTATTACAGGTCAAGAACCGGTTAATAAGCTACATTGATCAAACAAATGCATTGCCGCATTGGCCCAAGCATACCTCAAAAGAAAATGTGGAATCAATCAAACAAATGCATAAACCAATTACTAGGAAAAAAGGGGGTTCATTAAGATCAACAACCTGGCACCAGTTGTAACCCTCCATCACAAGCTGATGAGCTCTAGAGATCAGAGTGAGCCCATTTGTGTGGTTGAACTGAGCAGCTATATCTTGTCCGAAGGTGTATCCAGCCCCTCGAGGAGATATCCCCCAACCACATCGATCATCCGGATCAGACCATAACAGATCACACATTGGTCCTTCATGGGGGACCTACAAAAGGTACAACCAGAAGACAATGATATATTTGAGTTTCCAACAGCTATTAGCATCTCTGTTTACGAGGAAGATTCAAAAGCGGTGTTACTCCCTCTGAGGGTTGGTCAAATTAACAAATGACCTTGAGGTTCTGAAAACTAGAACTAAGACTCCTTCCTTACTAAGTTACTAGTTAGATTTTCTACAATAGTATAGCATCAATGTTATCATTATTTTACTATTACCATTATCATTATTTTTATTTCATCACCATTTTCATTATTATCAACTCATCATCTCATCATCATCATGATTTGAGTTTCCAACAGCGATCATTATTTCTCCTGAACATACTCTTTTTTAAGGAGAAAACTCTACAAATTGTTGCCGCTAAAATGCAGTAATGATTAAAAACACCAAATTCATGAAATTTAATCTTCATGCACTATCTCATATGCCACTTTGTTAATGGTATGCTCCATTGATAACCACACATCCTCCACATTTGCGTCATTATCAATACACCATACACAATTCTTGTGAATTTCATTATACTAAATAAGATTTCAGTTAAAAGAGCCACTCACTGAATGACTGAATATCAAACTGGTCAATTAGTTTTTTGTGATTTTTGGAAACCTAGTGTGATTTGGTAATTTGACAAGACTTCAGGGAGGTGGATGTGATTAACTCTTCAAAAAACAAGCACTAGGTGGCGGGCAGGGTTTAGGAGGGTAGTCATGTTAGGCCTAGCGCCTAAGCAGGGCAAACTGGGAATTTGAGAAGAAAGGTCTTAAAAAACTATTCTGCATACAAAATTTAACCACACTTCTTATCATATACCTCTTGTATTCGATCCAGAGCTCTGATATTATCAAGCGTATCTAAGGACGGTGAGAGTCCACCATGTAAACAAAATACCTAGATGAACAACTAATATTATATTAGCAATTCTTTTTCGAACAATCAGAAGAGGTTATTACAATTATTCGCGTGGGAGGACAGTAAACGAACCTGACTCTCTATAAGTGCTGTAAGGGGTAGATAGTCAAACAAATCAGTGAAAAACTTCCAAACATTGGCATTTCCATACTTCCTCAGGCATTCATCATAGAAACCATATCTGGCAGACGTACAGGCATTAAGATTCTCTCAATGAAGTTTGACAAACGTCAAACAAAACTATATACTATTCATAAAAGGAACATATCTGACTAGATAATTAGTGTATCTATCTGTTACTTCTACATCTCTATGTTTTGCATCAAATCATTTCAATCTCAAGATATTAAATACTTAATCCGAACAAATTGCAGTTGCATACATGGATTATTTTCCTACACTCTGACATCAGTTCTAAGAACCTCCGTCTAACCCTCATACTCTACACTTAGGTGCTACTTTTATCGCATACCTAGGTTTTTCCCAACATAAGCCCCTTTAGTTCCACTAAGGTACTCCCTAATCATGACAAGTCTCCAACTAGACCCAATTCTGCCACTTTACTGGTCACTGTCACTTTTTACAAATTTGTTTTAAGCTTTTCCAACTCCAATTTTCCGTTTCATTGCCCTTTTTGCAATCCCAAAAAGAATGATAACCGGTTTCAGTCATATCAATGATAGGTAAATATCTACAACTATGACTGTTGACGATCAAATTTTTGTTTGATAACTGAAAGATCAGCCAAATTTTGTTACATGAGTCAAAATGGTTAAATTAGATGCTTGATTAATGGTAACTTTCTTGAGATAATGGAAAAAATATTACTCATATAGTTTAAGTAGGCAAAAATATGAGCACTTAATTTTTCCAAAAACGTGACTTAGGGTCATCTGGGTCTTCTCCCTCTCACAGGATCGCAGCTCCAGGAGCAGACATCACCATGACACCATGCCCTCATTCCCACCATTCCAGCACACAACTTCTCCCATGCTCGACCACCACAACTATTCCGCCACCACAGTCGTTCGACAGCCGCAAACACAGACCAAATTTTTTCTCCTCCCAAATTCTGCATCTATGGTTACAATTCGCTACTCCATGAGCACCGAGCTTGTAAGTCGATTGATGTGTAAATCCGGATGGTTGCAACAGATCTGGGGGCAGTGGCGACTTGGGGGGGTAGTGGTGGGAGAAGAGCTGGTAACTGGCCGCCGCTGGCGGCCGGGGGCTGGGGAGGTTGCTGTCACAGCTCTGTTGCGCAGGGGAGGGGGGCAGATCAGATTTTGGGCTGGGGCTGGGTCTGGGGAGAGAACTGAATCGGGTTGTGGCTGGTGGGGGCTGGGGAGGGGGCTAGGCTGTGGTCAATGGATGAGGCGATGTGGCGGCGATCATTGGGCGGTGCCGGCGGCGGTGGGTGTCACTGGGCGGTGGAGGTGTCACTGTGCGGTGTCACTGTGGCCAACGGCGGTGACCAGTGGCGGCAACGTGACACGGGCGATGGCCAGCGGCGCTGACCGAGAGCAACATGAAAATTGAACAGTGACATGAATATTTGGCAGTTACTTCATATTTTTCCAAATATATAACCATCTTAGTCACATTTTTGTCCAAATGTAAATGTAGTCACATTTTTGGAAATTAGCTTTGGTTAAGTAATATTCAGGGAAACAATCCACTAAATTGATGAGAGTAATTTACTCTTGATCTGAAACTTCCACTAAATTGATAAGGACAGTTAAAATAATGGTAAATAATATTTTTACCATTATTTTCATATATAAGTTTCTTTATTTTACATTTTTACTAAAAAGTATTTTTCAACGATGTTTTTAATATTAGTAGACTACTTCATATCTTTATAATTCTAGCCAGATTTTCTACCAATCAGTGACTTATTTGCATGCTCAAGTTGAATCAGTTGATAACTTGATGAATGATGATAACAAAAAAAAATGCAAAGGCCGCTTTTTGGATGAAATGAAAGGAAATGATGAATTAACTCAGTTTTCTTGTTCTCTTTTATTATATTAAAAAATAGGGAAAATAGCCCCAAATAGGACTAAATTAATGCTGAAATTCCAAAATAGGAGTAGTATAATTTTATTCCCTAAATAGGACTTTTCTTCCAATTTTACCCCTAATCATTTAAACCCATCTCACACCCTACCTGTCATTTTATTTTCACATCGATCTCAATTCAACCTGGCCGCATCTTTGTGCGCAGCAGATTGCTTGGCCTCAACCACGAGCAGCAGCAAGCCCCGGCGGAAGCAGCAACGTGCACCGACTAGCGGCGGCAACGTGCGCCGGCGAGCAGCGGCAGCAACCACCAGATCTCCTCTTCCTCTTACTCCTCTGTTTCTTCAAATTTCCCGTCTGGATCTGGTGTAGTGGTGATGCTAGGCTCCGAGTTCTTTTTCTCTCTTCTCATTTGGAATTTTTAATTGCTCTTGAAGGATGCAAACGGGGTTTTTAATTAGGTTGTTAAAATTTCCAAATTTTTTAAAAATGCCATAATATTGGCATTTTTACTCTTTAAAAATTTCGTATTTTTCTTACAAAATGCCATTAAAATGGCAATTTCGATTTATGTTGGCATTCTATTCAAAATTTTGGCATCAGTGGTGGCGTCCGTCGGATCTGTGGTAGCAGCAGCCGGATCGGCGGCTGGATCTGCACGGTCGGCGGTCGATGGTCAATAGAGGCCAGATCTGCTTCGATCTAGGAAGATGGCGGCCAGATCTACGACGGCGATCAACAAATCTGCAGCAGCGGCTAGTTTTGAGGTTGCGGCGGCTGAAGACGGCATCCGAGACCGGCGGTGGACGGAGGCGGCCGGCGGTGGCTGGAGGCGGCCGCATGTGTTTGGAGGCAGCTGGTCATGCTCTTTGTCGGTGGGAGTCCGTTTGTCAAGCTTCTGGGGGTATTTTTGTGAGGCTACAAATAATAACTCCTATTTTGGGAATTTTTATACTTTAATCCTATTTTGGCAATTAAGAATATAATCACTCTCATTTAGGTAAATCTCCCTAAAAAAATAATACGCATTTATGTTTATAAAATTTTATCCATATAGCAATTTCAGCCAATTCGACCTAAAAGTCAATTTGGTGAGGTTATTCGGATGCTGTGGATTAAACTGCAAGTTTATCTGAAAGCTACTTATTCTGCTGACCTAAGGCATTTGATAAAATCAACTTCACGTAAATAAATAAGTCAAAAGCTACTTATTCTGTTGACAAGTAGTCTAGTATAATAAGACAAATAAGTCTACCAAACAGGCTGTATATTTCCCCTTACCAAACCGGCTATAACATACTACGTACATTGCATTCACTAGTAATGGTCTACTGCACATTAAATAATTACTATCAGCACATTCAGGCTGTCTAATGAATTTGAGAAACCCTGTTATATAAGAAAATATAAAACATACACTTGTGTGATTTGCCGGCTTTCATGATTTCCTCTAAGAATGGTGATTCTGTCTCTGTAGCGAACTTTTAGGGCAACCAAAAGTGTAACAGTCTCAACTGAATAATAGCCACGATCTGCATTTGGTGAAGGCATTACTATCATGATTATACAGCATTACAGAAGAAAGTGTTTTTGTGAAGAATACGAATATGTAGAAACTAAACAATAAAAGCACATATGTAGATAAATAACCAGGGTACCGAATTCCATGGTACAGCTTATCCCATAATGCTATTTCATGCAAATTTGCAATAGTAAGATATGTTTGAAACTTTGAGTTATAGCCCAGTGAATTATCCTTTATTTGGCAGTTGCTTTAAGGGTTGCATTTGGGTCTTGGAAAATGCTAGAGCCTAGAGCACTAGGCAAAGGAATGCAATTGCAAAGGATTCATATTTTCTTATGCTTGGATTTACCTTGGAAAAAAGTACACCTTCTTTTCCAAAAATTTAAGTACATTTAGATTTCTTAGTCTTTACAAAATACATTAAACACATTATGAGTTTCAAAGAGTAATAAAAAAGACCTATTGAGTCTGAACCTAATTTTTACTTCCCCCATTATCCACCCCTAAGTTCTTCATTGTTAACTTTCTCTAGCACTTTCTGGGTGCCAAACGGACCATATGATAGTAGTGAGTGATGAAGGTAATGTTTAAATTTGAAAGGACTCTTATTCCTTTGCTGGTTTGCATTAGATAGACTAGAGATGCTTCCAAGTGACAATGAACTCTTTCATGATGACCTTAAACCCATCATGATCATAGACCATTAATCCTACTACCATTTAAAGCCTAACACAAGAAGATCCCCATAAAGCTAGCCCCTTTATATGAAGAGATTTTATTCCATCAAATGAAGGCGATATAACACAGCAGAATTGTCATGAAAAAGGGGAAAAGAGAATCAAAGCACACAATGCAGAAAAAGCTTTTCGTCATAACCTAATGCATCAAATGATAAACGTGACCAGTTCAGTCATTCTGAAGACTGAAGGATTTACAAATGATAGATACTTAGCGATTTGTAATTCTTCAGTACCAAAAGCATGAACTGCTGTTCCACTCAAATAATTACAACACCATCTAACCAGGTCCAAGGTCTTCTAGGCCTTTTCTATGTGGACTTCCTAGATGGGATCCGGAATGTTTTTGCCTTTTATATGTGCACTTCCAGGATGAAAACGAGTTCATACTAGAAAGAGAAATTCATTGGATAGTCGTGCAGTAAACTGAGCATATAGCCACTGAATACAAACGTATCCACTGTCCACACATTCCCAAGCATGACGTAGGATACTGGACATCAAATTACAGAATATGTTTTCTAACTTACCAACATAATCTCCCATGAAGAGGTAATTCGTGTCAGGAGCGTTGCCGCCTATGCGAAATAGCTCGATCAGATCATAGAACTGGCCGTGAATATCTCCACAAACGGTGACTGGACATTTTACCGGCTGAACATTCCACTCCTCCACTAGAATCGCCCTCGCCTGATCACACAACGCTTTCACCTCGGATTCCGTCAGAGGCTTGCACTCCATCAACTGCTCGATCTGCCGATCCAGATCCCCATGCGCAGGCATTTTAACAATATTTTATTGATATACAATATTCACCCCTCCAGCTTCACCTCCAATCTGAAAATTTTCACGCTAAACATTCAAACATTTAGATCTTAAAAACAGGGATAATTAAAGAGAAACAAAGCAGTTTTTACAGACCAGAAACAAAATTCAGCACATCGAAATCGATTCAGTGTGGAAAAAATGTTCATGATTTTGTTAATCCAATCATCGTACGCCTGAGATTCATCTTCATTAATACGGAGTATGAACTTTTGCGTATTGCTAATCTTACGTGTTTATATACCAGTATTAATTAATTAAAAATATAAAGAAGGTGAAATAGAGGAAATTGGGGGATCAAGTCATGAAACTCAAATGAAGCCAAATGAAATGAAATTCATTTTCCCTCTCTAACTTTCTTTCACTATCTCAGATAAAGTTATAAACGAACTCGAATTATCTACGAAAAATTCCCCGGATATGACTAAAACAAAGTGAGTTTCTCGAAATGTGAGTGTTATATTTTTCTTCCTGAAATATGACCAAAAATTGAAAAAAAAAAAGATATTTTCATTATATTAAATTGTTGAAGGACGAAAATACCCTTTTTTAAAAATATGCATTTTACACTAATTTTGTCCGGTTAAAAATAATGCAATTTATGAAGTGGTCATTGCACTACATTTATTGCACTTTATGGCGATATTCATTGCACTACATAACAAAAATGTTATGATATTAGAGTTTTTTAGATTTCATAACTTTAGTTTTTAGATCTAGTTAAATATAATGCACTTCATGATGGAGTTATAGCACAATATTACATAAAATGCTACGAATTTATAGATTTTTTTCATGTCATTTTTAATGCACTTCTTTTCATGCCATTGCATGTTTTACATTATTGCACTTCTTGCATATCATTGCACTTTGTGCCATAACTCATTGCACTTCTTGTGATGTTCATGGCATTAAATATAAATTATTCACGGCACATTATCTTTCATCGTCTTCAACCTAGGGTTCGTCTTCAACCTCGGTCCGCCATCAACTTCAGCTGCCTTGACTGAAGAATTTGAGTTCTTGGAGCGGCGGAGGGGCGCAGCTTAGCGGCAGCGACTTGGAGTGCGGCTTGCAGTGACCATGGAGGGGACTGGTTTGGCAGTGACCATGGAGGGGACTGGTTTGGCAGCGACAAGGAGGGGCCAGAGACAGTGTTGGTGAACAGGGATCGGGACGACGACGACGCTGATGGCTTGGGACGGCAGCGACACGCGGGTCTAGGGATGGAGGTTGTTTGCTGCGAGGTCGATTTTTGGCGATGCCTGCAGTGAACTAGCGAGGGATTGGGGGTGGCCGTGAAACCTGTGAGTAGATGGACTAGTGGCGGCGGACGGTGAGCCGGCGGCAGCAAGGCGTGCGGGGAGCGCAGGAAGCCAAAGATCTTTTGCGTCTAGTTGCTAGGGTTGGAGAAAAAGGGTAGGAGTTTAGGGTTTTATAGATATAACATAAAGGGTATATTTGTCCATAGAAATAATTTAATTAATTATTAATTACGAATTTTAATTAAATAATACAAATTTAGGTAATATTTTGAGAAAAAAACTAGTTTGGTCATAGATTGGGAAAGTGAAAGTGTTTTAGTCATATGGGGGATAATTATTTCAATTATCTATGAGATGGGTCAAAACCATCAAATAGACACTACAACAATAGATTAAAACATTAAACCCCCTCCTCATATATATATAAACTTCGTGTATTTGTCTCTTTAATAATTTAAAAAATGAGTCAAATCCCAATAAATTATACTAGTAATTATTTATGACGAACTTCTCTCTATGAAAAAACTTAATAGTAAAAAAATTGGTAAATGATTAGCATTTTTGCATAATCCATAAATGAAAAGAGGATAATTGATTTATATTTATTCTTCTAGTACAAAGGCTTCTCATTCTCATTTTTGCACAATGGCCGAGATTCATTCTCATTTCTCACTTAAAGGCTTCTTCTTATTGGAACCACATCCTATATATGCATATACATTTATCATTTATATACGGACATACTTTTTTCTCAATAACTTTGCTTTTTAATCATTTTTTTTAATCTAAACACTTCTATATGTTCAATTTTAGAATTTATGGCATATTAATAAATACATGCCTAGCAATGCTTTATGTTATGAAATCATGCGATATCACTCTGTTGCTAGAATGAAATCACATAAGAATGGAAAAAGTCCAAATATGTAAATCAGCACATAGGTTTCAAGCGCGGCGACTTTACATGCATATGAAAGAACCCCAAGACCTTGGTTGACCCTGAGTTAGACGGATATGGTAGAACGTAAGGTGGTTTATAATGAAATTGAAAACATGTTACGACGGTTACAACCCAGGAGTCAACTATCGGCTTTCAGGTAGAAGGGTCGCATGCGAGTTAATGGATGTGGACAAGTTCTAGTGAAACTCAATAAATAATGAGTGGCAAACAATATGAATTTCAAATGCCTTGTGTGATTAAATTTGTTGACACTAACGTTAATAGAATCAGAATCCACATTTCCATTGGTACACCACAATCACTTATCAATGAGACAATTAATATGGAAGGAGGTTGAGGAATCAGACCGCTTATGTGAATCATGGAGGCTTGCACACTTCAAAAAAAAGGTTAAGTACTACTTTCCAACACACTACATGCAGGTAGAGGTATTGGTTGAACAAGTGACCTCATTTGAATTTATACAAGGCTATTGTGTTACAGGAAGGGAGTTTAGCATGAAGAAGCGGAAAATGTAAAGGTCTAACTAAACATTGTGAGGGTGATATTAAAGTGATTAGTGCTTGCACAATTTCCACATGAGGGATAAGTTCTTGAGGAAGAAGTTTCAGTCATATGTATAATATATGTTGGGAACACGCTTAAAGGAAAGGGGTATACATGAAAGAAAGAGTTAAATGTCTACAGTGATGTTGAAAGGAAAGGAGTGGAAGTTTATCTAGCTAGTAGGGGGTCGAGTATGTGATTGAGGTGTTCATCTTAGCACATGACAAAATATCTTTCTTTTTTTATTTTACTCAATTGGATGACACATGCGTGTTTAAAAGTTAAACAAATTAGATATATGATGAAACAAAAACAGGACAGGGAGACAAGACTAACTGGCTAAGTATGTTGACATTCATGGAATGACTAGTTGATATCATTAAGTCAAAAGATCAATAAACTAAATGTGTGATAGGTAATTCGGGGCATGATAAAAGAGTTATAGAGACCCATGTGTGTGTTGTAATACTTACCCTTTGGGTGGTCTCTGTAAATAGCCTTCTGAGGTTAGCTTCTCATCTAGATAGATTTGGTAAACGGCTCTATAGTTCACTTAGATGGGATAGTAAACATAGAACATGCTACTAAAACAAACTCTCTAAAGCCATGCAACTCAATAAACCTAAAAGGGAGCTCATCAATTAAGATCAATTTTGCAAGAGCTCTTCTGATTACAACTTAGTCAAATACTAAGGTCCCTATAACCCGAGTAGTTCCATGACATTGAGTTTGAATACCAATAACTGGTTAGAAGGTTAACATTGCTTGTCTAGTCTCTTTGGTGTGGATGTGTTTAATTTAGACAATTTAACATGTGTTTTCTTAGAGATGAAATCGCATACCTTTTAGGCTCAGAACAGTACAATGTAAAACATATATGCATTTTCCATTTAAAAAAAGACTCCTTTGCTATAAACAAAAAAGTTTTGAAAGTGATCGGTCCCACATCTTGGGTTTGGATTCCACATGTTTGCTCTTTTTTACAGCAACAACAGATGACCAAGTTTGTGCAATGGTAGTGTTATGCTCTACATCGGGAGCTTTCATTGCAAGTTCTTAAGTCGTAGGAAGTTGACCACTAGATACAGACATTGTGACACTATATTGGAACTCTATCTACATACGGAGTATATACCATTACATAAAAAATTAAATATCACATACTCAGGAATAAATGTAACTCAGATATTTTGTTATCTAAGTGACTTAAGTACTTATGATTCATGATATCTGATTTATAAATGTATTGAAATTAATTGTAACTTAGGGACTTTGGGAATTGGAATGCACAAGAGTGCATTTTTTACTTAGCATCCACTACCATATTAGTGCATAAACAAATTAAAATTCAAAAGTATCATTAATCTCAATTTTGATTTTAATAAAAATTGGATTTAATAATCTCAACTATGCATGATCCGCGTTTAATAATCCCTACTATTGATTATTATCATGTGGTCCTAACTTAACTGGGTATTTTCCAGAAATGGTCCCCAACTGGCTGGATGCGTAAGTCATCCCAGTTTAGCCGGTAAAGGGACGTGAGAAGCATATGTTCATTAAAACGACACCATAGCCAATCATTTAACAAATCAGCAGGCACCTTCCTGAATTCTCCCCCCCTTCTCTTTCTTATCTTCTACTCCTAAATCTATTTCTCTGGTTTTCCCGGACCAATTCGCCATAGCCAACAGAGAAGTGCTTCTCTTTTTTTGCCTGACCCATCCGCCACCGTCAAGATTGAAATACAACCTAAAAACAAAACCTAAAACTTTAGAACCAAACATGTTATAATAAACATAGTAATATAATTGCAGTAACATATATAGGGAATTTGGAACCAAAATTTTTTGGAACCTAGAAATTTAGAACCAAAATCGCAGAAACATAGGGAATTTAAATTTAAAAATAAATCTTAAACTCAATAAACCAACGAAGCTCCAGCAATCTATTTTGACTGGAAATAAACTAATACTCAACCTAAACGACTGTGATGAATTCAATTAACTAAGAGCTAGCCCTAAACATAATCTTTACATGTGTGATCGCAATCAAGCTTTGACACCCTTCAAGTGACGCACTTGAATTTTTCCCAGTGTATCTCACCAGAAGGAAGAACGGAGAAAGGGAGACTGCGCAAATTCCGGGTGTGGTGCAGGGGAAAGTTAAAGGCAGCAAAGTGAAGGGACGGAAATAGCTTCAATTTCATTCGATGACCTGATAAGAAGAAATATGGTTGTTTACGGCTGGAAGAACGAATTGTCTACTTGGGTGTTTTTTTTTTACTTTGCTAATCGGTAACCGGTTAAAGGGACCATTTCTGGAAAATACCCAGTTAAGTAAGGACCACCTGATAATAATCAATAATAGGGATTACTAAACGCAGACCATGCATAGTTGGGATTATTAAATCCAATTTTTCCTTGATTTTATCATCATTATAATTTGTTATCTCATATATCTAAAGTAACTTACAATAAAAAAAAGACAACATACATGGAGTTTGGA